CTGTTTCTTTGCTGCTCTCTTCTATTTGGCACTCTGTCCTGCCAACTCTACCCACCCTGGTCGACCAGGGCTGTCATCTTTGTCTCCTCAACTTAGGGAGTTCACAGGCTCTAACTGGATTTCCCCTGTCTCCACCATGGCCTAGAAATTCTCCCAGGGCATTAAGCTCAAACAATTAATGGCTTACATCATTTGCTTGTCTTCTGTTAAGGATCATTGTCTTTCTTTGCCAGATATCCATTGTCTTCAATTACCATCATTTATATGTTTTATACAGCGTTATCCAGTGTTTTATCCAGCGTGCAGTAGATTTTTGGCTCACTGCAACCGTGACCTCCAGGCTAAGGTGATCCGTCCACCTCAGCTTCCCGAGTAGCTGGGTCTACAGGCATATACCACCATGCCCAGCTAAGTTGTTATATCTTTTGTAGAGATACAACCTGTTGCCCAGGCTGGTCTCAAACTCCTGGGCTCAAGCCACCTGCCCCGTTGGCCTTCCAAAGTGCTAAGATTACAGGCATGAATCACTGTACCGAGCCTTGTTCAGTGTTGTTTTTTTGTTTGTTTGTTTGTTTGTTTGTTTGTTTGTTTGTTTGTTTGTTTGTTTTGAGACAGAGTCTTGCTCTGTTGCCAGGCTGGAGTATAGTGGAGGAATCTTGCTTCGCTGCAACCTCCACCTCCTGAGTTCCAGCGATTCCCCTGCCTCACCCTCCTGAGTAGCTGGGAAGACAAGCACGCCCCACCGCACCTGGCTAATTTTTTCTATTTTAATAGAGACAGGATTTCACTGTGCTGGCCAGGATGGTCTTGATCTCCTGACCTCATGATCCATCCACCTTGGCCTTCCAGAGTACTGGGATTACAGGTGTGAGCCATCGCGCCCAGCCTGTCCAGTGTTTTAATTGTTCCTGGTGGTAAATAATAAATACAGCCCCTGTTACTCCATCTTGGCTAGAAGCAGAAGTCCCTTCATTATGTGTTTAAGGTAAAGAAGTTATTAATTATATATAGTCAAGCTTATTGATACTAGTTTATGGCTTTTGCTTCTGATATCTGGCTAAGTAATTAAATATTCACTTGCAATTTGTTCTAGAAGTTTTTATGGTCTCGTTTTAACATTTAAATGTTTGTTTCTTCATAAAATGATTTTAGTCTATAATCTGCGTTTTCCCCCCAAATCCATAGCACTTAGTTTTATTCACATGAAAGCCAAAATATTCAAAAGTTTATGATGTATTTTGGTGATTGAAAAGATTTTAATGATCATAAGTTCAGTTCATAGGTCTTTTTGGTTTTCTTAAATACAGTTTCCTCATTTGCCTTGTATGCATTGTGTCCGAAAAGGCCTATGTCTTTGATTTAATCCATTGTTTCTTTTTTTGTTGTTCTCAGATATGAGCAATAAAAACAAAACACTTTTTGAGCTCTTATTTTGTGCTTTCATTTACCTGATTGACAAATAGCTGGATTTAATTTACATTCCCAGTAGTATTGATGTAGTAACATCATGCTTGATTATTGGCATCTATGGATTGGCAGGATGACTGCGTAGGATTACAGGTGCATTGTTGGCGGAGGGATACTTTTTTCTATGTAAACCTTCAGTGGTGCCCCTCAGATAAAGTCTCAACTTCTTAATATGGTTTAAAGGGCCTTTTTTTTTTTTTTTTTTTTTTTTTTTAAGACGGAGCCTTGCTCTGTCGCCATGCTGGAGTGCAGTGGCGCAATCTCGGCTCACTGCAACCTCCGCTCACTGCAACCTCCGCTCACTGCAACCTCCGCTCACTGCAACCTCTGCCTCCTGGGTTCAAGCGATTCTTCCGCCTCAGCCTCCCGAGTAGCCGGGACTACAGGCGCGTGCCACCACACCCAGCTATTTTTTGTATTTTTAGTAGAGATGGGGTTTCATCACGGCAAGGATGGTGTCGATCTCTTGACCTCGTGATCCGCCCGCCTCCGCCTCCCAAAGTGCTGGGATTACAGGCGTGAGCCACCGCGCCCGGCTAAAGGGCGTTTTGTAATTTTCCTTGACTCAACAACAGCTTCATGTTTTCTCCTTCCAACTCTCCCATACAATTAATATTGAATGAACTGGTTTTATTTTCCCTAGAAAGGCATGCTTTTTCATGTCCAAGTCAAAAATAGACTGGGTCACCTATAATATCCTTATATTTAAAAATATTTGTTTTCCTCTCATAATCCAAACAGATTCTTTTTTTTTTTTTTTTAAAAGATGGGGTTTCACCCTGATGGCCAGGATGGTCTTAAGCTCCTGACCACAGGTGATCCACCCACCTCAGCCTCCCAAAGTGCTAGAATTACAGGAGTGAGCCACCGCACCCGGCCAATCCAGTCAGTTATAACCATTTTATCATTTGTGTCATTATAATTTAATGTCTATAAGTCCATTTGACTTCTAAGTCTTCTAAGGATAGGGACCACATCCCATTTTATCTCCAAAACCCAGTATAGGGTCTGGCAAATAGTGAGCATTCAACAAATATTTGCTGAATGAAAGAATGAGCTGGGTAAGTAGATGGATCGTTAGATTGGTGACCTGTGTATCCTAGTGAACTAACTAAACTAACTCCATGAAGTAATGTATGTTGTCACCTATGGCTACTATGTCTCAAGAAAAAAATTACCTCTTAGCACTATCAGGGTTTTTTTTTGTTTTTTGTTTTTTTGAGACAGTCTTACTCTGTCACTCAGGCTGGAGTCCAATGGCGCAATCATGGCTCACTGCAACCAGCTTCAAGCAATTCTCCTGCCAGAGCCTTCCAAGTAACTGGAATTACAGGCACCTGCCACTATGCCTGACTAATTTTTGTATTTTTAGTGGAGATGGGGGTTTCACCATAATGGCCAGGCTGGTCTCAAACTCCTGACATCAGGTGATCTGCCTGCCTCAGCCACCGAAAGTGCTGGGATTACAAGCATGAGCCATTGTTCCCAGCCACTTCTTTAATTGTCTACTTTCTTTTTCTCTTCTCCTAGCATGAGACCCATTGGCCCATGTTTTGAAAAATAGTTTTATTGGCCGATAACCAAATTTCTATCTTGGTTATCTAGTTGGTCAAGGAAGAAACACAAACTATCCTGTCATAAATTTAAATGTTGGCATAAATAAATGATTATCTGGTTATGAGGGCAGAGGTTATTTAAAATGAAAATATAGATGAATGTTAACATTTCTATATTTTTCAAAAAATAAAAAAGAATCTACACCAAATAAATATATGTAACTAATGGCAGATCGATATGTGAGCATGTCAAAATGTTGTCCTTTTATTTTATTTTATTTTATTTTTTGAGAAGGAGTTTCGCTCTTGTTACCCAGGCTGGAGTGCAATGGCGCGATCTCGGCTCACCGCAACCTCCGCCTCCTGGGTTCAGGCAATTCTCCTGCCTCAGCCTCCTGAGTAGCTGGGATTACAGGCACATGCCACCATGCCCAGTTAATTTTTTGTATTTTTAGTAGAGACGGGGTTTCACCATGTTGACCAGGATGGTCTCAATCTCTTGACCTCGTGATCCACCCACCTTGGCCTCCCAAAGTGCTGGGATTACAGGCTTCAGCCACCGTGCCCGGCCTTGTTGTCCTTTTATTAATAGAAACTTTGATGTCAGAGTGTTTTATGTAGCAACAGAATAATTTGATTCTTTACATAGACATTATGCCTAGCCTCCAAATGGTAGTAATTTCTTCTAGTAGTCAATACAGAATTGTTTAATTGCCTATATTTCTATATGAATATACCACATGTCAAGAGCATGGGCTTTGCTGTTAGAGCTGAGTTTTAATTGCAGTCCTGACAAATACTGGCTTTCTGACCATGGGGAAATAGTTTAGCCTATCAAGTCTTAGTTTGTTCTCTAAAATTAAGATAATAGATAAAGTCATTATATTATGAAGCTATTGTAGGGGTTAAAGGAAATAATATATGTAGGGTTTTAGTGCTACCTGACGCATAGTGTCGATTAATAAATACCAACTGTTATTATTTCAACATTAATTACACCAACATGAATTTTTGTAACATGTTTACACTATAATTTACATTCTATACCCTTCACTCACTTGAAATGTACAATTGAATGATTTTTAGTATAGTCACAGTTATGCAGTCATCACCACAGTCAATTTTAGGACATTTTCATTGCCCCAAAAAGAAACCTTGTACCTTTTAGCTATCAACCTCTAAACCCCCCATCTCTAAGTAACCAATAATCTACTCTCTGTCTTTATAGATTTGCCTATTCTGGAAATTTCACATATATATATGGAACCATACAATATGTGGTCTTTTGTGACTGGTGTCTTTCATTTGGCATAATTTTTACAAGGTTCATTTATGTTGCAGCCTGTACCAATACTTCATTCCTTTTTATTGCTGAATAATATTCCATTATATGGATATACCACATTTTGTTTATTCTTTCACCAGTTGATGGACATTTGGGTTTTTTCCACCCTCTGGTTATTATGAAAAATGGTGCTATGAACATTTGTGCACAAGTTTTTATGTGAACATATGTTTTCATTTCTCTTGGGTGTATATGTGTACTTAGGAGTGAAAACTGGGTCAAATGGTAACTCGATATTTAAGTTTTTGTTGAACAGTAGGGCTGTTTTCTAAAATGGCACAGCCAACAGCAGTGTTAGAGGGCTCTGATTTCTCCACATTTTCACAAACACTTATCTTACTTTTTGACTATCACTATCCTAGTGAGGATGCAATGGTATCTCACTGTGGTTTTAATTTTCATTTCTCTAATAAGTAATGATATTCAGGATCTTTTCATATGCTAATGGTCATTTGTATATCTTTTTGGAGAAATGGCAATTCGGATCCTATATCTGTTCTTTATTTGGGTTTTTTGTCCTTTTGTTATTGAATTGTGAGACCAAGAGGCTTTTTAATATTTATATGTATTTGTACTGCCACCAAATAAAATGTGTTAGAAATAATTTAATGGCAAACCCTATTTTTCTACAGGTACTGAACATTTACCAAAAAAGAAATAAATTGTCAATGAGAAATAAAGCTAACTAGGATATCAAAAAGCAGAGTGCCTGCTGTACTGGCATCATGCGTAAAGGAGTGCTTAAGGACCCAGAGCTTGCCGATCTGTTCTACAAAGATGATCCTGAGGAACTTTTTATTGGTTTGCATGAAATTGGACATGGAAGTTTTGGAGCAGTTTATTTTGTAAGTACTTAAAGATAGTTGTTTAGAAAGATCAAATTAGGAAAGGTTGAACTCTAGGCCTGGCACAGTGACTCATACCTATAATCCTAGCATTTTGCAAGGCTAACGTGGGAGGCTCCCTTGAGGTCAGGAGTTCAAGACCAACTTGGGCAACATAGCATGACCCTATCTCCACAAAAACCTAAAATAAAATAAAGTTTGAACTCTACATTTTCTCTACACATAGCTATTACTCATAAAATAAGTTTGATTTCAGTGATTTTTCTATAAATAAATGATATCTGCAGTGGAGGCAAATAGTCATCGCTGAGAAGCCAGTTCCAGAATCCTAGGCTTTATTCAATTCAGTGGTATTTGTCTCAACTTACTCACCTATTAAAGTAGTATAAGAAAGTTAAGAGCCTGAAGTTAAGCTTTGTGTATTTCCACTGTATGCTAAGCTCTGTCCTGCCTGAGAACCTTATATATATGCTATTCCCCCAACCTAGAAAACTGCACATTACATCCCCATCCTTGTCTGTTCATCCTACAAGTTTTACCTTAGTATTACTTCTGCAAGATACCCTTTACTGTTCAGCCCTCCACCCCTAAATCAATACTTTATGATTTCATAACATCCTGTGCTTGTATTTTGTTGCATTTATCACATATACATAATTGTTGTAATAAAATTGTTGTAATAAAACAACTACATATACAATTTTTTGCTTTATATATGTCTCTTTCCCTAAATAACAATGTCATGAGGACAGGGGTTATGTCTATCTTGTTCATCATTATATTTCCAAGAACTGGTGTGATGTCTGACTTTAGTAGGAATTTGATAAATACTGGATGGATGGATGGATGGTAGACAGACAGATAAACAGATGAACAGACAACTGTTCAGAGAAAGGGACTGACAGATTTATAGTGGCAATCATGTCAAGTCAGTATTTTGGTTAAGGGGTGCAAGGCTGTCCCCCTAGAATCAGTTGCAGTTCCAAGAATATGACTGTCTTCTGATGAGAAAAACAAGAAATAGCCAAAATTTTAACACAACTTATTCTCCTGAAATTTATTAAATAAAATACAGTTTGTCTGTTTGTTTTGTGACGGAGTCTTGTTCTGTCACCCAGGCTGGAGTGCAGTGTGGCACAATCTCGACTCACTACAACCTCCACCTTCTGTGTTTAAGTGATTCTTCCACCTCAGGCACCTGCCATCATGCCTGGCTAATTTTTGTATTTTTGTAGAGATGGGGTTTTTACCATGTTGGCCAGGCTAGTCTTGAACTCCTGACCTCAAGTGATCCACCCAAGTCGGCCTCCCAAAATGCTGGGATTACAGGCGTAAGCCACTGTGCCCGGCCAAAATATAGTTATTTAATTTAATCTTGATAACTTCAGAAATTTGCTTTATTACAGTAACAAATACTTCCTTAAGCATAATAATCCATTAAAGCAAATAATAAATTAAGTACTAATTATTATCTACTTCTCCAAACTTCTAATCAAATAATTTCTTTTTAATAAAACAGTATTGACCCTTCCTTTTAAGTGGTCCTTTATGTGCTGCCATCTGGATAGGGCTTCTCTTTAGTTGTCCTTCCAAATGAGATTTGATGAATTGCATCTTTACTTTGTCCTTTTGCTTCTAGCCAAATCTTCAGCCTGGATTTTCTCTGAACTGTTTCTCAACCATTCTGTCTGTGTTCAGCCCTACCATTACTTCTGCTTACCTCATCACCATCAATAACTTAGCTCCCACTCAAGTATATTTTGTCATTAAATACAATAAAAGATGCTGAAAAGGGTACTAATTTCCTAGTTGACACTCCCATGCTAGTGTTTAGTCAGAATAGCATTTAAGGGCCAAAGTTTTGTCTTCTTTATTCACAGAACCTCTTGTTACAAAGCATTTTTATCATACGTATACATAAAGAAATATACACAATGTGCATATATATTTTAATATATAACTTAAGAAAGAATTAAAAGGTAAATCTCTGTGTAAACACCACCCAGGTCAAGAAATAGAACACTGCCCGCATCCCAAAACCCCATCTTATGTTCTCCTCAGTCAGAACCTTCTCCGTCCCCTCAGGAGTATCCACTATTCTGATTTTTGTGGTGATTATTTTCTTACTTTTCTTTATATTTATAACCCACTTGCTCTGTACTCCTAAACAATGTAAGTTGGTTTTGCTCAATTTTGAGCTTTTTAAAAATGGAAACATAATGTATATATTCATTTGTGACCCACTTGTTTTGCTTACAGATGAATTCTTCAGTCATCTTTGTTACCTTTTCTTCTATTTCTTTAAATCTAATTCATCTTCTCAGAATCTCTCTTGGCAAGTCTCTATTTGACTCTTCTCATTTAAAAAGCAGCCAAACCCTTCTTAAAGTGCTAATGTTTCAAAACGACTACAACAAACCAAGCATGCTTTGAAACTTACTAAGAGCCATTTGTAAAAGTGGCAAAATGAGACCCAACCTACAGTAAGTAGAATGCAGAAGATCTAGTGATTTATTTGCTTTTTGGGCTAAGCCCTGTCTATTTAGCTAGAGTATGTGTTTTTTTTCAAGGTGAGGACTATTAATATTTCTTTACATCACTAAGGGCTGGCAGAATCCCATTCACAGTGGGCACTAAATATATATTATTTGTTGCTAATGATAGACTAAAGAAATGATGCAGGTACCAGAGTGGCATTGATAAACGTAATTTTATCAATTACGTTTACATACAGGCTCTGTAGTGCCTGTATATAAATGTCAAAAGTACAGGCCTATGTATACTCATAAAGCACTGAAAAACAGATTAAAAGGGAATTAACTGACACGATACTATAAAACTTAAAAAAAAGCTTTAACTTTTTTTTTTTCATACGGACTCTCGCTCTATCACACAGGCTGGAGTGCAGTGACGCGATCTTGGCTCACTGCAACCTCCGCCTCCCAGATTCAAGTGATTCTCCTGCCTCAGCCTGCTGAGTAGCTAGGATTACAGGCACACGTCACCACGCCCAGGTAATTTTTGTATTTTTAGTAGGGACAGGGTTTCACTGTGTTGGTCAGGCTGGTCTCGAACTCCTAATCTTGTGCTCTGCCTGCCTCCTCCCAAAGCGCTAGGATTATAGGCATGGCCACTGCACCCGGCCATCTTTAACCTTTTATCTATAGTGGTCACATTGGTAGTACCCTAAAAATTGATTTTTGTGTTGGCCAAAGTAATATTTATGTATGTTGCTTCTTACTCCCTGCTAATAGATTTTTTCCTCTTGTTACTTGTACCATACCATTATAACCAAGAAGACTGTGTTATCTCTTATTTGGACAACTGTGATTGCCTGCTTTGGTCTCTCTTCAGTCTGTTGTGCATACCTCAATGAGCTTGAAAATACAAAAATGTAAATCTGATCACATCCCCTTTTCCTATAAAGCTTTCAGGGGCTCTCCCTTGTTCTTAGGCCAAGATCAAAATTCTTACTGTAGCCAGCCTACAAGGTCCTTCATGGTCCCTATCTCAACCTGAACTATCTTCTCTCTCATTCCCATTGCTATAGCTCTGATTCCTTTCTTCTGATCATCCTTCCTGGAATCTTGCATAAACTGTTCTCTCTGAAATATTTCTCCCTTCTGTTTTCACCTTCGTAACTCCTGTTCATCCTTTAGCTCTCAGCCTAAACCTCATTTCTTCAGGGAAGGCTTTCCTGACCTTCGTAAGTCATATCCACCAGTTCGTTCTCAAAGTAACACATACCTGTTTTTGTGGCACATATCACAATTGCAATTTTATATTTTGTCTTTTATCATTTTATTTTTGTTATTGTCTGTCCTCCTTAGAGGAGTGATGGGTACTGGACCTATGAACTCACTATTTTATGTCTAGCACTTAGCCCAATTCCTGATAAATTGTGGGCAGCTAGTAAGTATTGAATGAATGAATGAATGAATGATGAAGAACTGAGAACTTGGTACTGCTAATTAGTACTTTTCATAAGTCATAGTTATGCTGGGAATCCATAAAGAATAGAGCCTGGCAGCTAGTATTTTTATACCTAAGCACTATAATTCTGTTAGCCTCAGTAGGTCACAGCTTTTACACTGAATGCTGCCAGGGAATAAACTTAGTGTGAATTGTAAGCAGGAACAGCTCTTGTTAAATCAGTCAGCTGAGAGTATATGTTATGTTCAGAGAAAACAGAAATTATTAACTTGACGAAATATTTCTGTGTGTTTGGATTTACATAAGTAATTTTGAAATTAGCAGCATTGGCTGAGCGTGGTGGCTCACGCATGTAATCCCAGCACTTTGGGAGGCCAAGGTAGGAGAATCACTTGAGCCCAGGAGTTTGAGACCAGCCTGGGCAACATAGTGGGAACCCATCTCTAAAAAAAATTTTTTTAATAAAGGAATCAGCAGCATTAACAAATGAGATAGTAAGAAAGTGTACTAAAGGAAAACAGAAAAAGAACTGAGCATGTTCATTTTTGTATTCACCTAAACACAACTCTAAAATTTATAGGTTTCTAGATCTCCTTTGTTGAATTCAGTATGTTATCCATAACCCACCTAAAGCAAATACTTTGTCTTTCTGGATATAATTACCTTTTAGTTGAGGCTCAAAAAATAGGGCAAAAGGAAAGCTTTTTCACTTCTTAAATTTTTTTTTATTCATTTATTTAGAGACAGGATCTCACTCTGTCACCCAGGCTGGGGTACAGTGGTGTGATCATAGCTCACTATAATCCTGAACCCCTGGACTCAAGCAATCCTACTGCCTCTGCCTCTTGAGTAGGTAGCTAGGACTACAAGCATGTGCCACTACACCCAGCTAATTTGGTTTTTAATTTTTTTTTTGTAGAGACAGGGTTTTGCTGTTTTATTTTTTTTCCTTTTAGACGAGTTTCTCTCTCTGTCACTGAGGCTGGAGTGCGGTGGCACAATCTTGGCTCACTGCAACCTCTGCCTCCTGGGTACAAGCAATTCTCCTGCCTCAGTCTCCCTAGTAGCTGGAATTACAGACATGTTCCACCACGCCCAGCTAATTTTCATATTTTTAGTAAAGATAGCATTTCACCATGTTGGCTAGACTGGTCTCAAACCCCTGACCTCAGGTGATCCACCCGCCTCTGCCTCTCAAAGTGCTGGGATTACCAGCATGATTACTGGTCTCCCAAAGTGCTCGGATTACAGGCCTGAGCTACCGCACCCGGCCTGCCTCCTAAATTAACATAATGTTTTATATTTGTCTATAAAATAGCAAAAGGTACAGCTGGAAAATATTTAAAAATACATCATAAACACATAATAGTAAGTTCTTAATAAGTATTTATTGAATCAGTTATCTAGCTAATAGTTACTAAGACCATTGAGACTATTAGAAGTATTAAGTATGAATGTAAGTTTCAAGAACAAAATTACATGATAGATGCTGTAATCATTAATAATACTATATGGAGCACTAGAAAACCGAGACCCCATTGATAATTTCCTTTTTCTGTACTAAAACATTGATTTTTATTTTTTAAGTTTCAATCTAGCATGTTCTGACTTTTAGCTAGTGTAAAAAGTTAGAATAATCAACATTTGCATTAAAAAGTTCACATCTGGCCAGGTGCAGTAGCTCAGGCCTGTAATCCAAGCACTTTGGGAAGCCGAGGCAGGTGGATCACGAGGTCAAGAGATCAAGACCATCCTGGTCAACATGGTGAAACCCTGTCTCTACTAAAAATACAAAAAATTAACTGGGCATGGTGGCGCGTGCCTGTAATCCCAGCTACTCAGGAGGCTGAGGCAGGAGAATTGCCTGAACCCAGGAGGCGGAGGTTGTGGTGAGCCGAGATCGCGCCATTGCACTCCAGCCTGGGTAACAAGAGCGAAACTCCGTTTCAAAAAAAAAAAAGAGAGAGATCGAGACCATCCTGGTCAACATGGTGAAACCCTGCCTCTACTAAAAATACAAAAATTAGCCAGGTGTGGTGGTGCGTGCTTTAGTCCCAGCTACTTGGGAGGCTGAGGCGGAAGAATCGCTTGAACCCAGTAGGCGGAGGTTGCCCTGAGCCGAGACTGTGCCACTGCGCTCCAGCCTCGTGGTAGAGCAAGACTCAGTCTCAAAAAAAAAAAAAAAAAAAAGTTTATATCTCAAGTCTCTACCTATATATTAGGATGTATAAGTGAGTGGAAGCATTAAGTTCTAATTAGTGATTATCCTATAAATGTAAGAAATATATTTTTATTACAGGGTGTTTTTTTCATGTTTCCAGTGCCAAATATAACATTGATTATAAATAACCTTAATAAGCAATTAAAAAATAATATTTTATTTCTGTGTGGTTTTTAACTAATGATTAATAATTTTTTAAAACCTCACAAGTTAAAATTTCTCATTGCCTAAGTATTTCTTAAATCTTTCCCAGACTCCTCAAGCTGTACTATATAGATTGATGCCTAAAATGTATACTTTTCAGATACAATCCCTCTAACCTTTATTGTAATACTGAATTTACATTAGCTTTTCTTTCTGATTGCCGTATAAGCATAGTCTTCATTAAAAGTTTAAAAGCCAGAACAGTGTGAGAGATTTTTGTTTTTAACAAAAGTCAGTCTGTACTTTCGGGGCTGGGTGCGGTGGCTCACGCCTGTAATCCCAGCACTTTGGGAGGCCCAGGCGGGTGGATCACGAGGTCAGGAGATCGAGACCATCCTGGTCAATATGGTGAAACCCCGTCTCTACTAAAAATACAAAAAATTAGCTGGGCATGGTGGCGCGTGACTGTAATTCCAGCTACTCGGGAGGCTGAGGCAGGAGAATTGCCTGAACCCAGGAGGCGGAGGTTGCGGTGAGCCGAGATCGCGCCATTGCACTCCAGCCTGGGTAACAAGAGCGAAACTCCGTCTCAAAAAAAAAAAAAGTCAGTCTGTACTTTCTAAATCAATAAAATACCTAAAATATGCTTTTGTGGAGTTCTGCAGATCGGAAAATTATGACCAGTATATACCTCATTAATACATAATAGGCACTTTTACTTTAGTGCTTGTTTAAAAAAAATTTTTGTAGTATGTTATTGTGGGTTTTTTTTTTTTTCATTTTGACATTCCATAAGAATCTATGGTCAAATTACTTTTATATAGTACATTATTGTTTATTGTTTAACCGTTTTTAAAAATCATAAAGAAACCGTTGTTATATCTGAGAAGCTTCATTTTATGTATTTTAAAGTACTTATATTTGAGAAAATTATTATGAATTTTTCTCTAAAATTGTTAACCTGACTTTATCAATGAATAAATTCCAGTCTTTTACTTCAGACCCACTGTGATAGCTTTATTCGTCCACAATGATAATAATATCACAGCAGCAAAGTAGCCTACTTACATCAGGGGCATGGTCCAGGTACAGAAGTAATCTTAATGTCTTATATTTATTTTTATGAAAATTTTAAGAAAACTAATAGTTTTAAATATTTTAAGTAAGTTGAGGCCAGGTGCAGTGACTCACACCTATAATTCCAGTACTTTGGGAGGCTGAGGCGGGCAGATTACTTGAGGCAAGGAGTTTGAGACCAGCCTGGCTGATATGGTGAAATCCTGTCTCTACTACAAATACCAAAATTAGCCAGGCGTGGTGGTGGGCATCCAGAATCCCAGGCTACTCAGGAGGCTGTAGTGGGAGGATTGCTTGAGCCTAGGAGACAGAGGTTGCGGTGAGCTGAGATTGTACCACTGCACTCCAGCCTGAGTGACAGAGCAAGAGCCTGTCTTTAAAAATTATATATATATCTTAAGTAAGTTGAGAGAAAAAGACTATGACTTGAGTTATTAATGGTTTTCATTTGTACTTTCAATAAACTGTCATTTGGAGTATGGAGAAGACAAGTAGACATAATTATGATACAAGGCGACCTCTATAGATAAAAAATACACATATATATATACATAAATGTAGGTATTTATATATGTAATACAATCTTATAAGTAACCCTAAAAATGAAAGTCCCTCTTAGGATTAATCTTACTTTCTGCTGTACTGTTCAATACAATAGCAAGTAGGCACATGTAACTATTCAAATTTAAGTTAATTAAAATTAAATTAAATTTAGAATTTACTTTCTCAGTCACACTAGCCACATTTCACATGTTACTCTTTTGGACAATGTAGAAATAGAACTGTTCCATTGTCATAGAAAGTTCTATCAGATAGCACTGCTCCAGGAATTATCATTGATATATATTCTGGTATAAATTCTTTTATAATTTTTCTACACATATACTCACATTATTACTATTTTGCAAAAATCAAATTCTGCTTTACAATTTGTTTTTTATAAAAACATTTTAAACATCTTTTCATATTGCATTGCACATAGATTACCTCATTCCTTAAATGGTTATTTCATTATATGACCATATTTATTATTTTAACTGGTTCTCCATTGATGCACAGTCTACCAAGTGAACCAGTATGGATATTTTGGAAATATGACATTTTTCGTTCTATTTGATATGTTAAACCCTAATCATTTTTTGTATTACAATCTTTCATGAATACGGAAAAGGATACAGAGAAACTACACATTAAAATGGGAATGGAAATGTCTGTTTAGCCTATCAGAAACTGAAGCGTCTTTGAACTGTAATACTGCAGTGTGAAGATACTTTAAAAGTCTCAGCTAGGCACGATAGCTCATGTCTGTAATCCCAGCACTTTGGGAGACTGAGGCAGGTGGATCACCTGAGGCCAGGAGTTCGAGACCAGCCTGGCCAACATGGTGAAACTTCATTTCTACAAAAAATACAAAAATTTGCCAGGCATGGTCGTGGGTGTCTGTAATCCCAGCTACATAGGAGGCTGAGGCAGGAGAATCACTTGAGCCCAGGAGGCACAGGTTGCCGTGAGCCAATATCATGCTGCTGCACTCTAGCCTGGGTGACAAAGCAAAATTTTCATCTCAAAAAATAAAATTAAATTGAAAAGTCTCTATCTGCCTGGGCACAGTGGCCACACCTGTAATTCCAGCACTTTGGGAGGCCGAGGCAGGCAGATCAGTTGAAGTCAGGAGTTCAAGACCAGCCTGGCCAACATGGTGAAACCCCATCTCTACTAAAAATACAAAAAAAAATTAGTTTGGCAAGTGGCGCATGCCTGTAATTCCAGTCAAGTACTTGAGAGGCTGAAACAGGAGAATCACTTGAACCCAAGAGGTGGAGGTTGCAGTGAGCTGTACTCCAGCCTGGGTGACAGAGTGAGACTCTGTCTTAAAATAAATAAAATAGGTCAGGTGTTGTGGCTCATGCCTGTAATCCCAGCACTTTGGGAGGCCAAGGCGGGCAGATCACCTGAGGTTGGAGTTCAAGACCAGCCTGACCAACATGGAGAAAACCCATCTCTACTAAAAATACAAAAAAATTAGCTGGGCGTCGTGGCACATGTCTGTAATCCCAGCTACTCGGGAGGCTGAGGCAGGAGAATTGCTTGAACCCGGGAGGCAGAGGTTGCAGTAATAAAAAATAGTCTCTAGTCAAATATTTACGTTAAATTGGCTGAAACATCATTAATTCTTTTTCTTCTATCCTCTTAACACAGGCTACAAATGCTCACACCAACGAGGTGGTGGCAATTAAGAAGATGTCCTATAGTGGGAAGCAGACCCATGAGGTAAAATAGAGACAGTTGTGTACCTAAACTGAAATAAACAAGTTAGTGTGAAATTTAAAAAATTATTTGAACTTTTTTTGAGCACGATTTTTTTTACCTTCTTGTGGGGCAAATAACAGTTCCTGGAGTTTTTTCATGTTATTTTTATAACTCCCATACAAATGTGTGAACATTCACAGTTATTTTTAAGAAGGCCAAAATTCTAATCTAGCTCAATCAACTATTTTGCATTCTAAGTGAGGTGGCTCAGGCCTGTAATCCCAGCACTTTGGGAAGCCAAGGCTGGAGGATCACTTGAGCCCAGGACCTCAAGACCAGCCTGGGAAATATGGTGAGACCTCACCTCTACAAAACGTCAAAAAAGCTAGCTGGGTGTGGTGGCATGTGCCTGTAGTCCAGCCCGTAGTCCTCCCAGCTGAAGTGGGAGAATTACTTGAGCCAGGGATGTGGAGGCTGCAGTGAGCCATGATTGCACCATTGCGCTGTAGCCTGGGTGCCTGAAAAGAAAAAAAAATAACTATTTTGCAGTCTAGAACATGGGTATATGTAATGGCTTTTTTGTATATATTTTGGTGATAGATTTGTGTTTACATGTATTCAAACTAAAGAAATAGCATGTTTAGGCTGGGTATGGTGGCTCACACCTGTGATCCCAGAATTTTGGGAGGCCAAGTAGGTGGATCACCTGAGGTCAGAAGTTCGAGAGCAGCCTGGCCAACATGGAGAAACCCTGTCTCTACTAAAAATGCAAAAAAATTAATGGGCATGGTGGTGCACAACTGTAGTCCCAGCTACTTGGGAGGCACAAGAATTGCTTGAACCCAGGCTGCAGAGGTTACAGTGAGCCAAGATTGTGCCACTGCACTCTAGCCTAGGCAACAGATCAAGACTCCATCTCAATAAAAAAAAAGAGAGAGAGAGAAATAGTTTAAATAGCTTCTTCATTTATTAAACATTTACTTTATATCCATTTACAATAATATAAATAATATTATGTATGTATACTTGATAGGAAATACTATTTTCAGTTTGAAAATGAACATGTTTCCTTTCTGACTTCAATAGAAATGGCAAGATATTCTTAAGGAAGTTAAATTTTTACGACAGTTGAAGCATCCTAATACCATTGAGTACAAAGGCTGTTACTTGAAAGAGCACACTGCTTGGGTAAGTCAAAGGACCTCTATTCCTTTTACTATTGCTTTTTTTTCCTTCTTTTTCTATTATCTCTTTGATTTGTAAAAGTATTAGTCCCGTTTCTGTTCCATTTAACTTTTGTTATCAGTGTTTATTAACACTTGTTAATACCTTAGTGTGTCATATGGCATACATTCCATAAGATTGTGATATTTAGCCTATTGGAAATTCCATTCTATTAGCACTCAAAAAGAGATTGTGAAAAGTTGACATCTTTTTTTTTTTTTTTTTTTTTTTTGAGACCGAGTCTTGCTCTATCACCAGAGTTGAGTGCAGTGGCATAATCTCAGCTCACTGCCACCTCCACCTCCTGGGTTCAAGTGATTTCCCCTGCCAAAGTCTCCTGAGTAGAGACAGGGTTTCACCATCTTGGCCAGGATGGTCTCAATCTCCTGACCTTGTGATCCTCCTGCCTCGGCCTCTCAAAGTGCTGGGATTACAGGCCTGAGCCACCACACCCGGCTGACATCATTTTATAATTATTTATTTGTAAAAGTAAAAGGCACAGCCTTATATTCTCATCCTAGAATTTTTATCTTTGTCATTTCTTATTCTCCACTCCAGTTCCCCAACATTTGGAATTGTGCTTGATGTTTTCATTGCTGGGTTTTTTACCAAACAGTGCCCACCATATGATCAAAAAAAAGACTTTTCTGGGCCTGGCGCGGTGGCTCATGCCTGTAATCCCAGCACTTTAGGAAGCCAAGGCAGGTGGATCACGAGGTCAAGAGATCGAGACCATCCTGGTCAACATGGTGAAACCCCATCTCTACTAAAAATACAAAAAATTAGCTAGGCATGGTGGCACGTGCCTGTAATCCCAGCTACTCAGGAGGCTGAGGCAGGAGAATTGCTTGAATCCAGGAGGCGGAGGTTGCAGTGAGCCGCGATCGCGCCATTGCACTCCAGCCTGGGTAACAAGAGTGAAACTCCGTCTCAAAAAAAAAAAAAAAGACCTTTCTTCCACTCTGTCATCTTAGTGTGAATTTTATGTATATATATATATATATATATATATTTTTTTTTTTTTTTTTTTTGAGACAGAATTTTACTCTTGTTGCCGGGGTTGGAGTGCAGTGGCGTCATCTCCACTCACTGCAACCTCTGCCTCCCAGGTTCAAGTGATTCTTGAACCTCAGCCTCCCAAGTAGCTGGAACTATAGGCACACACCACCACACCCAGCTAATTTTTTGTATTTTTAGTAGAGATGGGGTTGCACCGTGTTGGCCAGGCTGATCTCGAACTCTTGACCTCAAATGATCCACCCATTTCAGCTTCCCAAAGTGCTGGGATTACAGGCATGTGCCATTGTGCTCAGCCCTTAGTATATTTTTATATGGTTGTATTTCCAGTTTTACTTTGGAACATTAGGTACATTTAGGGCATGAAAATGTTATCCTTTCTAATTTATCAAATTGCACATTCCTACTTAAACTCCAATTTAACTAGCATTTATTGGTTACCAGGTACCAAGTCCTTTCCTGTATGTGATCTCTAATTAGGGAATGGAATTTTTGTTCCCAAATAGACTATCAAACAGTGTACTAAACATACACATTTCTGTTCAAGCAACTCTTGAGATATGTAGAACTATTGCTTTCATTCCAAAAATAAGAAATTAATCAAAGAAGTATCTCATTATCTAGAAATCCGTTCTCTGGCAATCTCAGCTGCCTTGAAGGAGTCAAGAAGGGGATTTCAAACAGGCAGAATAAATGCTACAAAATCCAAGTGCTAAAATCTCATGTGTTTTAAGTCTTCAGAAAATCCTCCATACTCTTGCTTGAAGCCCATTTACTCTTAGATTATATAGACTGTTAATAAGCTTGGCTACCTGGTTTCTAACTACAATTGATTTGATACACCAATTAGAAAGAGCTCTAAGGAACTGAGCTGTTAGAGACATGCATACAAACAGGCATAAGCATAATTTGACCACACGGAAAGTCAGGGAAGCTAGAAAGCAGACCTAATAATTTAAAGGCAGAGCAGCTAGAGCCACTTAGTGTCAGGAGCAAACAACCTGTTCAGGTGCCTTTGTGTTATAGAATAATAGGGGAAAAAATATTTGTGACAAAAATGCGTAGTTTTTAAACATGTAATTTAAAAAATATAATGCAACTATAAACATATTAATTCCATTCAGTTTTTAAGTTCTATATTGATATTTCATATGCTTGGTTTAAGGAAGTTACGTATGCATATTCATTTACTTTTAAAAATTAGAAAATTATGTGATAAAATTTTGAAATACTTCCATGAAAATTGACTAAAGAAAAAGTAGGCTGGGCACAGTGGCTCATGCCTGTAATCCCAGCACTTTGGGAGGCCAAGGTGGGTGGATCATGAGGTCAGGAGTTCGAGACCAGCCTCCTGACCAACATGGTGAAACCCCATCTCTAAAAAAAAAAAGAAAGAAAAAGTAGGGGACATAAAGGCTAGTGTTCATTATAACATTTACTCATGTGGAATCTTCCATTTTATAAGAAGAAATAAGATTAATGTTTCTGAATCTGTTTGTTTTTAATGTCAAGCAGAAAAGTATAATAAGGTATTTAAATTTTAAACTTCTGAACCTCTCATATTGTTCTAAATTATTCCAGAAATGCAAGGTACATAGTATATAAATATATAAATATAAAACTATAACATATAAGACATTATTATATATAATATATAACTGTTATAAGTATATCTAATGTAATTATATTATATATTATATAGACATGGTATACTTATATTTACAATATTAATATATTCATGTTATATATCTTGATATTGATATATTGATATTTAAAATATATACCTATAAAAGTATAATAGTTTCTAAATTTTTAACTTCTAGAATTCTCATATTCTAAATCACCTCAGTAATGCAAAGTACATAATCCATACAAATATATTTTCACATTAATTTTTTTAATGAAAGGAACTAATATGTCGATATTGGTTACATCTGGTTGATTGTAGGAAATTTATATTTCATAATGAGCATGTACTACTCTTTCAAATAACAAAATAATAATTTGTAGGAGTGTGGATGCTTGCATGTGTGTGTGGAGATTGGTTGCTAAGCCCTAATAGTTTTGACTTTGATTATAAAGCAATAGTATGGACACCTAAAAAATCTAGGATAAGAGTAAAGAAACAGGTTTCTCATTTAGAAACCTTTTAGAAAGGCTTTTAGAAAGCCTCCCCAGATGGCAAACCCAATAACTATCAATAGCTTCCACCTCTTGAGTTCCAGCGATTCTCTGGCCTTAGCCTCCCAAGTAGCTGGGAGGACAGATGCAAGCTACCATGCTCAGCTAATTTTTTGAATTTTTAGTAGAGACGGGGTTTCACCATATTGACTAGGCTGCTCTCAAACTCCTGGCCTCAGGTAATATGCCTGCTTCAGCCTCCTAAAATGTTGGGATTACAGGCGTGAGCTACTACACCCAGCCTATCAATAGTATTATAATATAAAGTGTGAAGAAAAGGAATTTACTACTTATTGACTTATTTTATTTAACTGGTATAACCCCAGTATAGATTTTACTGGCTCATGTATTTGTTTGCCACTTTCTAGGTTACAAATTTATAGTACAACCTAGTCTCCTGAGTTCTTTTTGAAATAAAGTAGTGAAGGAGTTAATAAATAAATTGGCAATCTTGGTGTCACCATGTATAGTAAATATTTCTATATCTAGTCCCCCAATAATCTTTAGGCCAATTCCAAGCAAGAAATAATAAAAACTGAGATGATGAAAATTATAAAAATCAATTAGTGCCAGATGACCAAAATTCACTCCAAGTTCAGGTAGGTCAGAACATTTATTCACCTAGTATTCTTAGTTTCTTGGTTGGTTGATTAGTTGGTTTCAGCAGTTTTTTAAAATTAACTTTCATTACTCTGAATATTATTTTAATCTCTTACAGTTGGTGATGGAATATTGCTTAGGCTCAGCCTCTGATTTATTAGAAGGTAAGAAAGAAGGAATTATACTGTCTGCTTTACTTTGATCAGACTGTTTTCTACTGCCATACTAAAGAGTAGTTTGGGCAGTCTAATTGAATGATGGCTTGGACTTTTAGGGTTGTGTGGATAAGCTATGCACACTTCATCTCTTCAATGCCATTGAAAGTGTCTGAGTGATGTTAGCAGTCTTCTTCCTGTTTCAGTTCATGACCCATCCAGGGCAGGTACTACCAAAATGTTTGTCTAATGTGATATGGTATGTGTAGCCAAAAACATATTCATGGGTATATGTGAAAAAGAGGTGGATATTCTCATATTATATTGATATTAAACCCTTTTAGAAATCTTGACTGACCCGGTTCCTCTCTGCAGATGCTACTATAAACAGAGACTGTGTTAAAAATTTACATTAAAAAAATATCTTGAGCCAGGCATGGAGGCTCACACCTGTAATACCAGCTACTGTCCGAAAACAACCTGACCAACATGGAGAAACCCTATCTCTATGAAAAATACAAAATTAGCCAGACGTGTTGGCAGATGCCTGTAATCCCAACTACTTGGGAGGCTGAGGCAGGAGAAAAGCTTGAACCAAGGAGGCGGAGGTTGCAGTGAGCCAAGACCGTGCCATTGCACTCCAGCCTAGGCAATGAGCAAAACTCCATCTCAAAAATAAAAAATAAAAATACCAACTACTTAGGAGTCTGAGATAGGAGGATCACTTGAGCCCAGAATTTCAAGGCTGCAGTGAGCTTTGATCACAACACTGCACTCCAGCCTGGGTAACAGAGTGAGACCCCTGTCTCAAAAAAAAAAATTAAATCACTGTTTATTTCTTCTTTTTTGTTTGTTTGGTGTTTTGTTGTTGTTGTTTAGACACAACTGTTGATTTCTGAATAGAAATTGCTTATTAGCTGCTTTCACAAATAATGAAAATCTGTAGTTTGAAGGAATAATTAAAGATGGCTTTGTGGCAGGGGAGAATAATGTAACCTAGAACACTCCAGACATTTAAAATGCTGGAAGGGACTGGTTGATTTGGACCTTGTTAATTGGAATCAGTGTGACTTGGCTTGCAACTGACAAGTAAATTAACTGCATCATTTAAGGAATATCAGGCTTTTTTTGTTTTGTTTTTGTTTTGAAGGCTCATTTCTGTTTATGTGCTTGGGTTTCCTCTTACCTGATCACTTATTCTCTTCTATAGAAGATCTGTATCCTATATATTTAGGTGACTGTGTTCCCAAATTGTCTGTGAGAAAGTATGTAACTCAGTCTGGTATAGTTGTATAAAATAAAATGAGGAATGAAACTGATCATCTGCTGACTTTTATTTTTTCCTTCCTCAGTTCATAAAAAACCACTTCAGGAAGTAGAGATCGCCGCCATTACTCATGGAGCCTTGCATGGACTAGCCTACCTACATTCTCATGCATTGATTCATAGGTAAGATTAGAGACCAGTTATATTTCATTTCAGTTACAGGACTGTCTATTCCAGGAACCTTGGAAATTAGTCCATACTCCAGTTTTTAGGTTGACTAAACATTCATGGGAAGCAAATAGATTGCTGCTTCTGGGTATGAGGAGTAAAGTTGCCAGAATTTAGCTTCTATCTCCTATTCTCTCCTATGTGTCCAGAATTATATCATCTTTGTTCAGTAGGTAACTATTCTCCAGGCTGAGTGTTACAGGGAAATTTGAAAAAGGGCCCAGCAATCTTTAGATACTGTGTCATGAAGAAAAGAAATTTAACCTCCCTTGAATATATTTATTTCTTAGCAGAGTTATTGTCCCTTTCCTATTATAAATAACAAGATAGTCTTATATAAATATATGCTATTTTATAACTTTGAAATATTTCGCATTTTTATAGTTTGTATGGATACTTAGGAAGATACTATCTTTACTGCATTTTGGCAGGTGAAGAGACTTAACTTGCCGAGAGTTTCGCAGAATTTGAGTAATATATTAAGGATTGAAACTCAACTTTCTTGACTCCTATTCTAGGGCTTTTTTCTACCTTGTTTTTTCTCTACCACAACACACCACTCTCCTCCCTTCAACCTCCCTCCCTCCATTAACTTCTAGAGAAAGATGTTACCAATCTTTCCTTTGCTCAATAATGAACTTTTAGTGCAGTTACATTAATGAATGGGGAGAGGAGTAGTGAAATTTTAGGTAGGTATAAAGAATCTGAGATGGCTCACAAATGAAAGAAAACAACTGGCATTTACTAGGAAGAAGTGAAACTATTAGGTCATGGTTCCTCTTTTGCTCCTGTTTTAATCACCCCAGCGTAGCCATGACCACTTACGGGTACCACAAAAGCAGAACTTCCTCAAGATAAGCAGACCAAAATCCTGCTGGGAATTAAGGACAAAGAGTGAACCTAATCATGTTAATAAATGCTGATTAAATAAAATTATCATAATGTCTATGGGTCTGACAACTTTTTAAAAATATATGTCTTTGGTACCAAGATGTTAATACTGCTGCCAACTTGCTTGTGATAGTTCTGCCTGCTCTCATTTAAAGCCACAGTTCAGTTTTTTTGTGCCATTATTACCTTAATCTGCATATTAACTTAATGTTTTAGTCTATATTATACTTTATCTTCTGTAGTATGTGAAACAATTTGCTGAAGAGACAAAAATCTTATAAAGAATGTTTTTTAAATTTAAAACTAAATACTATGTTTCATATTTTTATTGTTTCAATTTAAAAGGTAGTTCAGTCTCCTAACTGAAGATAGGTAAAGAAAATATATTTTTCTGTTGTGAAGAAAAATAAATAATGCATTTTTTTTTAGTTCTGTGTGCCAGTGCCTAATGTCACCATGAGGAAGGAAACTGAATTTTCAAGGGAAGTTTTTATAAAAGTTATTTTGAAGTATTTGAACCTTACCATTTTCAGCTTGACATAAATTTTCCTCATCTTCTCTGTTTTATCTTTTCGCTGACCATCAACTTCCAATTCATGGTTTCTAGTGCTCATTACTCCTCATGCCTTTTTTAAAAAGAATAAGGAATACATCCACGTCTTCTCATTCTAAGTTACCATACCAAAGAATGAATTTTTAAATTATATTTTTTAAAACATTTTGCTCTATAATTCATCTACTAGCTTTAGTAGTAACCACATGCAATTCTTTGTAGTAATACAGTAGAAATGCCATTTCCTAACCCCTAATCCATGTTTGTTTTGATCTTTCAGGGTCTTCTTTTTACTGTACAGAGTTATTTTTAAAATAACACCTTCTATATAACATATACCTCAAATGCGTTAGAGTTGCAGTTACAATTAAAGGCAGAGTAAAGGGTCACAGGCAAGAAAGAAAAGGTATGTGTGTAGTTGAGGTTTATTGGTAGGTAGTCAATACAGAATTGTTTAGGCTCCAAAAATGTCACATAATTTGTAAAAGCAGTTACAATTGGCACCAATTTTCTCAGCACGGGGAAAACTATTGATAACTAGATTTGGCCTTTAAGAATATGCTTTTATAAGGGTAGCAGCTGAATAGGTTTCCTTGTCTGCCATGTCTGCCTTTTTTCTCATGGTATTTCTTCCCTCTGAAGAAAGCTCTACCTTTAAGTAATTACTATGACCTACCTGCAAGTACACCCAGGAATCTGGGCCCCCTTACAACATGCAGTAATTACTAAATCTCCTTCTGGCTATCTGAACAAGATGTTTTTTTTTAATAAACTTTTCGTCTTATTAATTGCATGCTCTGACCTATTCCATAATCAAAATTGAAAAGTAATTTTCTAACCCTTTTATTTTTTCCTATAGGGATATTAAAGCAGGAAATATTCTTCTAACAGAGCCAGGTCAGGTAAAACTAGCTGATTTTGGGTCTGCCTCAATGGCTTCTCCTGCCAACTCCTTCGTGGGCACACCTTACTGGTATGTAGAATTAGGAAGTATGACATAGTTTTAAAATATGCATACATGAACTCATGGTACTGGTTTGGCTTGGTTTTGTGACAATGTCTTACCAATGTCCCTCAAAACGAGATTTTATTTGAGAAGGATAGAAAACCCACTGGCATAAAAAGAAACACTCTGGCTTAGTATAAAATTTACAGTGACTTTAAATTGTGCAATTAAGGTTGGTGTCACTGTACGTAAACTGAGCAGGATTATCAACATGCTGACCAGCTCAGGTTTTCGATTTCATTTGCAGTTTCTTTTGAACTTTTCTCTTGAGGCAAAGCCTCCACATAAGGACAGGGCAGCTTCTTTTGCCTGACCAGCCAACAAGCAGAGATGGTACCTTTCAGTGAAAGAAATCCAAGTTCTTGTCCTTGTTGAGTTCTCTGATAGGTTACCTAGCTTGGCAGTCTGGCTCAGAGTTTTTCACCCTATTTTTTTCCAGATTCTTTTCCTTCCTTTCACAGGCACATTGGAATTTCATTATGCCTTACAAAGTGACTTAGATCTCTGCAAAATTACTTGCCTACTAAAAAAAATCAGCTAGTCTTTGAAATTTTTTCTATCACCAAATAACATTTACCAAGCAACTGATTACACATCATAATAGAGCAGTTCTTTTCAAAGCATATTAAATCGACAGGGCCCTTGCCTTCCTAATGAAGCTGCATTATGGACAAACAAGTAAAGTAACATCCATTACCACAACCTGGGGTTTTTTTTTTTTTTTTGTAAGTTTTAGTATCTTTGGAACAGCTGATTATATCACTTGATATGGTTCCATAAAGTATTTTTTATGTTGTTTAATTATTTTAAAAGAATATAGCCAGATGTGGTGGTACATGCCTGTGATCCCAGCTACTTGGGAGGCTGAGGCATGAGAATCACTTGAACCCGGGAGGCAGAGGCTACAGTGAGCCAAGATGGTGCCACTGCACCCCAGCCTGGGCTACAAAGTGAGAATCTGTCTCAAAAAAAAAAAAAATTATTTCCTGCTTTATTTAATTACTTTAAACAATATGAAAAATACTTTCTGAAACTATGTAAAGCAATATAATCAAAAGCTGTTCCAAAGTAATAATTTATTTAAGTATTTTATGTATATTAATTCTTTACAAATTTCGGTAAAGTTGCTATGAGAATTCTCTCCATTTTACAGGTGAAGAAACTGATGTACAGATAGGTTAAGTAACTTACCTAAGATCAAACTGATAGTAAGGAGTGGAGACAGTCTTTATTGAAAATAAGTATTGTGTCATGTAAATCACCAAGTAGATTATATTTTGAAGTGTTTTTCAAAATTATTTGTGTAAGGAAATAATACCTCTATCAGATAAAATTTCAGAATACCCTTAAGAAGAGCTATTTCATTCAATTACTTTACTGGAGAAATTTTGTTTTTAATCTACAACTTGGATTTTGTACCTTATGTTTGGTAGGATGGCTCCAGAGGTGATCTTAGCTATGGATGAAGGACAATATGATGGAAAAGTTGATATTTGGTCACTTGGCATCACTTGTATTGAATTGGGTGAGTAAAGAGTTGTTTTCATTGTATTTTTTAAAATTGTATTTTGCAGATGAATTTTCATTGTATTTTAAGAATCACTTCTTATGATTAGGAGTTATTCATCTGGCTATTTAATGAGTTACTGGTATATGTGTGCTAGACAATGTGAGTTTATTATATATTTTTTATGCTCTTTCATAACACAGAAGATTGCTTTCTCTCTGCTACATTTTCATGTTATTAATTTTTTTTTTGACAGAGTCTTGCTCTATCAAGCTGGAATGCAGTGGTGTGATCTCAGCTCATTGTAACCTCCGCCTCCCAGGTTCAAGCAATGCTCCTGCTTTAGCCTCCTGAGTACCTGGGGTTACAGGCACCTGCCACCATGCCTGGCTAATTTTTGTATTTTTTTTTAGTAGAGATGGAGTTTTTCTGTGTTGGCCAGGCTGGTCTCAAATTCCTGACCTCAAGAGATCTGCCTGCCTTGACCTCCCAAAGCTCTGGAATTACAGGTGTGAGACACTGTGCCCAGCCTCATGTTATTAATTTAATTAAAGGAGTTGAAGCAGATATGGCAGTTAACAAATAGGATACAAAATAGTATGTAGTAATATATGAAAAATATCCATTCTCCATTCTATGAATGATAATATATGTCCTACCTTTATGGGAGTTTTCATTACCTTAATTTATACTCCAACTTGTATTAGGGAAATCTGAAAAAGTAATAGAAAGTTTATCAGGGATCTGATTCTGAAACTGTATTTGACCCATGTAGAGCACAACTGTGAAGAAAACTTTGTGTTAGAGGATACCTCAGCCATGAAGTTATTCCCCAAATACTGTTGCAGTTATCTAAAATTGTCTAAAGTGCCATAGAATCTCTCCTTTAGTTGCATATTTTGAACTTTAATATATCTTAAATTTAACCTTATCCAGTGGTAGACTGGTAAAGTTAACAGATGAATCTCCTATGGAGAGGGGAAAAGGTCTTGATTTGTAGCTTTGCCAGTTTCCATGGTGTGAATACTCCTGCTATAGCCAGTGCTCTTCACTCAATGTGAAACTGGGGAAAGATGCACACAATGGTCTTTCCAAAGCCAGTATGGGCTAGCTACAGCATAATACTGCCTTTATCTAGATATTTTCATTAATTTTAAATTAAAAATGTTAAACTTTTAAAAAATCAGTTTTTAAAAAAGTCATAGGACCAAAATTAGCTAAAACAACTTTGAAGAAATAGAATTTGGACAGAAGAATCACTACCCCAAATCTATACCATAATCATTAAATCCATACAGTATTGGTGCGGGGAAAGATTAGTATCTAAGAGAACAGACTAGGAAACTGTAGTATGAGTCAGATTTTAGTAAAAGACAGAGAAGCCATTACAGATCAATGGGGAAAAAGGATGGCTCATTTGATAAATAATACTGAGAAATTTGTTAATTATATGATAAAACTAAAACTGGATTCCTAGCTATATCATACATAAAAATAAATTTCAGATTGGTTAAATGTCCAAAAGTAAAAAGCAAAACTTTAAAACATTTAGAAGAAGCCCCAATGCCTCAGTTTTCTCATCTGTAAAATAGAAATAATGATAGTATTCACTTTGTGGGGTTGTTATGAAGATGAATTAATTAATATCTATAATGTGCTTAGAACATGACCTGGCACATAATAAGCACTATGTGCCAGGCACAGTGGCTCACACCTGTAATCCCAGCACTTTGGGAGGCTGAGGCAGGCAGAGCACCTGAGGTCGGGAGTTCAAGACCAGCCGTACCAACATGGAATAACCTTGTCTCTACTAAAAATAAAAAAATTAACCGGGCATGGTGGCGCATGCCTGTAATCCCAGCTACTTGGGAGGTTAAGACAGGAAAATTGTTTGAACCTGTGAGACAGAGGTTGTGGTGAGCCGAGATTGTTCCACTGCACTTTAACCTGGGCAACAGGAGCAAAACTCCGCCTCAAAAAAAAAAAACCCAAACAACCAGTAGACATATGAGTAAGTGCTATGATTAAGTGAAGCTGAGGTAGGAGAATCACCTGAACTCAGAAGTCAAGACTGCAGTGAGCCATGATCACTCCACTACACTCTAGCCTGGGTGGTGGGAGTAAGACCCTGTCTCAAATAAAAATAAAAAGAATATCATTAAGCAATTCATTGAAGAGGAAACCTAAATCGACAACAAACATCCAAAGACACTCAGCCTTGTTAGTAATCAGAAAAATGCAATTTGAAAAAATTTGACATTTATGAGATTGGCAAGAGTGTCAAGTCTGCTAATAATTAATTTGGAGAAGCTGCTAAGGAAACAAGAACTCTGTATGCATACACACTGGAAAATGTGTACAAGGGTGCTATTGCTTTTCTAGTAGCCAGAAAAGGTAGAAATAGCCTAAATTTTTATCTAAAAAAATGTATAAATAAATTATGGAATACTGTATAACAGTTAAGAATCAGCTGGATATACATGTATCCTCATGGATAAATCTCAAAATCATAATGTTGAATATTTAATGAACAAATAAAATTACAAAAGCACAGGTACAGTATGATGCCAGTTATGAATATTTTATAAGTTCTTTTATATATTATTAAAACTATATACTGGCCAGGCGCAGTGGCTCATGCCTATAATCCCAGCACTTTGGGAGGCCAAGGCAGGTGGATCACCTGAGGTCACGCATTTGAGATCAGCCTGACCAACATGGCAAAACCTCGTCTCTACTAAAAAATACAAAAATTAGCCAGACGTGGTGGTGCACATCTGTAATCCCAGCTACTTGGGAGGCTGAGACAGGAGAATTGCTTGAACCTGGAAGGCAGAGGTTGCAGTGAGCCAAGATTGTACCATTGCACTCCAGCCTGGGCAACAAGAGTGAAACTCCATCTCAAAAAAAAAAAAAAAAAAGGTACATCTTTACTAATAAAACATGAGAATGCAGTTGTAAAGATATAATTCTAGAACAGTAAACTTTCTGGAGAAAGGAAGGCAAATAGAGCTTTAATTACTTTCTTTTTTGTTTTGTTTTGTTTTGTTTTGTTTTTTTGAGACAGTCTTGCACTGTCACCCAGGCTATAGTTTAGTGGTGCGCTTTCGGCTCACTGCAATCTATGCCTCCTGGGTTCAAGCAATTCTCCTGCCCCAGCCTCCCAAGTAGCTGGAACTACAGGCATGTGCCACCACTGCCCAGCTAATTTTTTTGTATTTTTTTATTAAAGACAGGGTTTCACCATGTTGGCCAGGATGATCTCGATCTCCTGACCTCATGATCAGCCCACCTTGGCCTCCCAAAGTGCTGGGATTGCAGGTATGGCCACCGTGTCAGGCCTACTTTCTTATTTTTTTTGAAGAAAAAGAATCTGAAACAAATATGACAAGATTATAATAAATTGAAATGATAGATATCTGTTATAATCTGCAAAATTTTAAATATTGAATAATTCAACTTTTCAAAAATTAGAAATAAATATACAATCCTTTGGGGGCGAAACTACTCTGTGCATAGCATAGAGTTAGCGGTATGGAGTAAGATTTAGAATTAAACACCCTGGATGTGAATCTTGGCTTTACCAGCACTTAGCTGGCAGGACAACTGTGGATGGCTGCAACATAATTCCATTAGGCATTCACATAGTCCAGGATGCAAATGATACCTCCTCGAGCTGTGTAACATGTTGATTCTGGCTGTGTGAAATCAGATGATTTTGTTAACTTCCCTAATCCTCAGTTTCTCATCTAAGTAAAAATAACAATGCATATATCATACATTTCTATAGGCTTCGATAAGATAACTTAAGTATTTAACTAACATAGTACCTGGCATATAGCAAGTGCTCAATAAGAGCTAATTGTATTCATATATAGGATTTTTTTTTGTTTTTGTAACTTATATTTTAGGCCATGTAAAATTATGCTACTTTTAGAGGTCATAGTACCTCTAAAGGGTCATAACTGAGGAGTTGCTACTATGATCTTATTTTATAAGTAAAATATAAAATAAGTGATATTTTATTAAAATAAACCAAATTTTATTTATAACACTGAGAGCATAGTAGCAACTCCTCAGTTATGACCCTTTAAGAGAATGTGCCACCTGCATTGAACTTTACAGTTAGTGCCTGCTCATGGTTTTGACAAGATTTTTTCTTACCAAAATCTTTCTGAAATGTGACATGGATTCTACCCTTTCCAGTCTTCTTCAATGAAACAAACTACGTATACCCTTTTATGATGATTTAAGATCATCAGCAGATCAGATTTTGTACCGTGTAGATGTAAATGACTCAAATGTCAACAGTAATTGACATTGGACACAGGTACAGATCCCAGGAGATACCTTAATATCCTCTCTTAAGACAGCCCCTTATATGTGCTTTCTGATTTTACATTCTTATAAAAATGAATTGAAATATTTATAACTACATGCTCTCTATATCACCCTAACTTTGATTGCATTTTATAAAGAAATGATTTATTGAATTAAAGGACAAAGTAGGCTTCTCCCAAATTATCTGATTCTCTAACACAGCTATTTCTGCAAATTAATAGGTGATAATATCAAATTGTGCTAAAGAGCATAGACTTTGCAGTCAGATAAACTTCAGTTCTCATTCTGCTTCTGCCATTTTGTAGTTGTCTGACTTCGGTCAAATTATCTCCAAGTCTGTAAAATCTTTTTTTTTTTTTTTTTTTTGAGATAGAGTCACACTCTGTCACCCAGGCTGGAGTGCAGTGCCACAATCTCGGCTCACTGCAACCTCCACCTTCCAGGTTCAAGAGATTCTTGTGCCTCAGCCTTCCAAGTCACTGGAATTCAGGCATGGGCCATGATGCCCAGTAATTTTTGTATTTTTAGTATAGACAGGGTTTCACCATATTGTCCAGGCTGGCCTTGAACTCCTGGGCTCAAGTATACCACCTGCCTCTGCCTCCCAAAGGGCTCAGATTACAAGGGTGAGCCACCACACCTGGCCTCAACTATGTAAAATTAACATAAGAAGATAT